GCTTTAAATGGGACAAGCTATTTGAGATGCCCAGAGAGGTTCAAGGGAAGGTGCCAAGCAGGTGTTTCTATAGCACTGACATCTGATTCTCTGGGTTTATTTCCTAACTTTAAGAGAAGTTTTGGTGGAGAGCTTGGAGCAGGTGGGCACTGGAGCAGGTCGATATGAATGAGTAGAGACTGTGCTTTTGAGAAGTTTTGCTGTGAAGGGGAACAAGAGACAGGCTGGTAGCTAAAGGGAACCTGAGAAGTCAAGGGAGTGTTATCTTTAGGATGAATCAATCTGGAGTGTGTTTGCAAACGGTTGCAAATGGTGCAGTAGAAGAGAGAGAGCTTAGTCTTGCAGGAGAGAGAGGGGATGACTGCCTGGGAATTCCTTGAGAAAGTGAAAGTGGATGGGATCATGATGATGCGATGGGAGCGGGATACTTTGTCAGTGAAGGCAGTGGACGAAGACACAGGTCGGTGGGTGCACTGGGTGGTAGGAAGATGGGAGAGCAAAGCCAAAGGAATATTGCCAATGTATCCTATCTTTTCTGACATAGGGAATTGTGACTACTTTGAGAACATCAGATTACTTACTAAGACTCAAGAATGCTGCTTTGCTCCATAAAGCCTTCATCAGTACTTAATCAATTTGGGCTGCTGTAACGAAACTACCATAAACTGAATGTTGTTGTTCAGTTCAACATTCTGTTGTTTAAGCTAACAACAGAAATTTATTAACAGAAATATATTTCTTCCAACAGAAATTTATTTCTCACAATTCTAGAGACTGGAAAGTCTAAGATCAAGGTTTTGGCCGGTGGGTTCCTGGTGAGGATTCTCCTTCTGCTTATGTCCTCACATGGTGGAGAGAGAGAGAGAGAGGAAGCAAGCTCTCTCATCTCTTCTTATAGGGCTCAAATCCCATTTGTAAGCCAGTTACCTCCCAAAGGCCCCAGCTCCAAATACTATGGCGTTGGGGATTGGGGTTTCAACACATGAATTGGTGGGGTGAGGGAGGGGGACACATTCAGTGCATAGCACATACGCAGATGTGAATGTTGAATTACTGAAGAGTAGTTATTGATGCTTGCTACTCTGTACATATCAGGGGAGGTGCCACATTGATTATTTATTTCCTAAGCACCATGACTAAATCACTAATTAAATTATTACAATGAAACATCTCAATAGGCAAAGACCAATCAACAAAGGAGGTAAGTAGCATTAAAATTTGCTTTTCTGGTGTATAAAACAGGCCATCACATCTTTTCAGTACTTGCTGTCATCCATGGTTTTATGCCATCAATAATTTCCTGTCTTAACAAATAAATAGAATAACAAGCTGATATTTATTTAAATATTTAGATATTTATGAGTAATAAATTTGGGATTTTGCCACTTAGAAAATAACCAAAGTATTTTCTTTTTCTAATTTAGGCCAGTGATGACCTTGAACATGAAAACAACAAAAAGGTAACAAAATGATTCTCTTGTGCATTTTGTTTTTATTACCAGACACCCATATGTGGCCTCTAAAATGGAACATTGTGTCCTCAGTGTTGTTGATAAGCTCTCTCCTCCAGCCCATGGAATGTCAGGCTTACTGTTTATAGGTATAATATATACATGCTTGAGGCATCTAATTATAAGAGTCTTCAAAGGAAAGAATTAATCACAGTGATAAAATGATTAAATCCTGGGTAAAAAATCACAAAACTAGGGCAGGTGGGAACAATTTCTCTAAAACTAGATGTTTAATGCAGTAAGGCATTTTCTTAGATGGAACTAAAGATTTCATTCCTAGAATAGGGTTACATAATCATTAGCATAATGAATTTGAAAATAAAAATGACGTAACAGGTCATCAAATCCATATCACAGCATAATAGAAAGATGATCTTGGTTCTGATGACATTGACATTCTGGAAGATCATTAGTTAATTTCACACTGTATACCTTCTAGGATTCTTATTTGATGTTATTAGATATTGGCCTTACTGTAAGGAAAGCAAAGTTACGTTTTCAGTTTCTTTTATCCTCTTTAAAGTTCTTCATGGTGATCAAGGTGGCCTTTTTTAGTAAGTGTATATGGTTTATTTATTACACAATAGTGAGACTGATGACAGTCACAGGCAAAAATTTGCCTTTGTGCTCACACTTCAGATCTTCAGAAAATACTGCGTTACTGTCTGTGGGGTCTTACCTTATTTGGAGTGAGACCCTATCTTCTTACTATTTAAATATTAAATTTGAAAGAATTTTAGATAAATCTGATCATAGTCCTCTCCAAAAATGTTTAGGAGTACACTCTTCTCTTATACTAGAATTTCATAAGGTATTGGAATCAACAGTGCACAGATTGACTGAATTTGGTCACTGTCATTTCTTAGCTAAATTATTTTAATCCTTGAAGCTTTAGATTTCTCAGGTGGTCAGTGGATAGGACTCTAATCTTCACTAAGCATCTTGACAGTGATGAGGTTGTACGTGCAAAAATTCATCCTAGTGCCGAACAGAGAGTAGTGGCATTATTTATTATCATGAAACACACAAGGAAGGAACAGACCTTATTTGGGGGAAAGAGTGTGTTGGGACATATGAAAAAATGATCAATGTAAAAATAAGTTACATTATTTGATTATTTACCTCAGGCTTTTATTGGCAAAATCAGTTTGATGATTTAGAATGCTCAGATTAGGTCATCAGTTAAGACAAACACATGGTCCAATCATTTTTTTCCTCGTGGATTATACTATGTGGTTAAGCAATTTGTCCATGTAGATTCACTCTATGCAGGAAATTTAGCTTTTCAGTTTTGAACAAAATGTTGATCACTTTTGAAGGCATTATTTTTGTTGTTGCTTTTGTTCTGATTTATCAAGAAATAAATTAAAATAATTTGGTTTTCTTCCCTCTGTGGAAAGTAGTGCCAATTTCAATATGTCCTATGTAGCAAGTTATCAGATTATTTTAAGATTGAGTGCCTTTTTAAAAGTACAATAAACGACTTATGTATGTGCCTTAAATTCTAGAGCAGTGCTGCTGTGAAGTGTGTCCCCCACAGCCCATCATTAGCACTTGGGAACTAGCTAGTGATAGAAATGCACATTCTTGGACCTCATCCCAGACTCACTTCATCAGAAACTCTGAAGCTGGGGCCTAGGAATCTGTGTTTTAACAAGCACTGCAGGTGACTCTAATGCACACTAACGTTTTAGAGTCACGTTTTTGCCTTTATGCCTCAAATTGTGAAAATATGAATGATAATACTTGCTGTACATATGAGAGGCCCAATACGGTTTCTTAAATATTTTGAAGTCCTTTGCAAATCGAGAGATGTCTTAAAAATGTAAGAATAAGCTTAATATTTTATAATTACCTCCTTTTGCATTATTTGGAACTAGAATAGTCATTAACTTTTTAAATTATCCTTTAGCATAATGGAGGAAACAAAATCTCTTGTCCTTTCGTTTTATGTGTCAAATGATCTTTAGTAAGGAAGTTTGCAGCATGTATCTGAGTCCCGCTGAAGTCATCGACATGCACGTTCTCTTCATTGTGCTTGTAGGGCCTGGTCACTGTAGAAGATGAACAGGCGTGGATGGCATCTTATAAATATGTAGGTGCTACCACTAATATCCACCCGTATTTGTCCACAATGATCAACTACGCACAGCCCGTAAAGTTTCAAGGTTTCCATGTGGCTGAAGGTAACCCCAAAGGTTAAATGCAATAGCCTTTTTTGTCTGCTTTTCTTTTATTGTGCTGATGAGCTCTGATCTGGCTTGTTGCCATTTTCTTTTCTGGGCATGGGGACAGTTCCACCTCACCTTATTTTTGTTTCACAGACCATAACAGCCACGTGTCCTTGGCATGCGGTGACATTGCATTGTCATTCCCCACATCATCCACTGGGGGGCTCTAGAGACTATGGATTTGTTAGTGCTCTGCGTGCTTTTAGAATACTTCTTTTAATCAAAAGCCTGTCTTCAAAAACATGAAGTTTTTAAAAACCTTTCATAATCATTTCTGGGGTGAGAAGCCATCATCATCATCATCAAAAATACATATTTCAAGGGTGGCCATGGCAATTGGGGTACACATAATTTGTTTAGGGATTTCAAATTTAATCGAGCACACTTTTTTTTTTTAAAGTCAGCAGTCTCCATCCACAGGATGTTAATGAAACAGGAGCTACTGACAGGATAATGTAACATTGGCCTCCAAAGCCTAGTGATTCAGGATGTAATTATGTTTATTGCTTGTCTTTCTGTGAGGGTTTGATGGCAGGGTTTCTGAGTGCATCTTTGCTTTTCTTTTACAGAACGCAACATTCATTACAACATGTCTTCTTTTAATGAATCGGTGGGTCTTGGCTACTTGAAGACACATGCGATTGAATTTGTAAAGTATCCTAATGTATCAGGTGGAGTGAGTGTGCTTTTGGTTTGGCAGGAGTCTGAAATAGATTAATGGCTAATATATAAATAAGGTTGTAGAGCTAATAGAATATGTGTGAAAGATCATGGCAGCAGCGACAATCTGCCCAAATGTGAATTGTTTTTATAACCCACACATGAATTGTGATTTTTTTCTCTTAATCATTTATAAATGTGAAATTTGCTCTGTGCTGTCTACATGTTTGTCATTGTTGGCCTAGACCTTTGTTTTAGCTCTGTTTATTTATCTCTGCTGTAGAACACTTTTTTCTGTTTTCCTTAATAAATTACACAGTTATAACAAACGGCAAATGAGTCGCATTTACCCCAAGGGAGGCCGAGTAGATTCCAGTAATTACATGCCTCAGATTTTCTGGAACGCTGGCTGCCAGATGGTTTCACTGAACTATCAAACCCCAGGTAGGAACTGATGTCCAGTGACCCCGAATTCCATGAGAACGCTTTGACAGGATGGTGCAAAGCAGTTGCCATCAGTTGTCTGTGGGCATTTTTTAAGGGAGGCAGACATATGGCAAAACAATGTGTTGTATTTATATAATGGTGAGAAATTAAAAAACCAAAATAGAGCAGTAAAACAATGGTAGAAAATAAAATGTTTTGATTTAAATTGAAATTCCTTTCATAAATGCCATGACTCTTCTACTAAACATTATCCCCTATTCTGAAATATTTCTAATTGTTCTTCCTTTTGGATCAAACTTGTTTTCTTGATTTCCAGAGGCAGGATTAAGTGAGAAGGATTTGAATATCTTTTTTTTTTTTT